AACAGACAGACCCAGAACCTGAGCCCAGAAAATTAATTCAGGCAAGATCTCTCCCGAAACAGGACTCCTTTCATGAGGAAGTCCTGCAGGACCAAACCCCAAACTCCCTGTGAATCACTCCGTGCAATTTGGAAGCAAAGCACCCCTTAGCATGATTCTGCACACTGGAAAAGACTCATTTATCTTGAATAAATGCTGCAGATGAGGTTATTTGGTTATCAAATCTCATTTCACGAAGTCTTGAGCCACATCCTCAACTATGTAAACTGTTTTAGTTCAACTAAAGTCATGACAAAATAGATCTCTTCAGACAAGAGCTTAAAGTGATGCTTGAAATATTAACACACACTGCCCCCCCGTAAGACAACGCCGTGGATATGGAATGCTTTAAAACTTGTTTTTAAATAAAAAGTAATTGTTAGAAAGTTTGATAATTCTTCCTAGATCCCCAATATAATGCAGTAAAAGTTACAATCTCATTTTCAAAGAGGTTTATGAATGTGAAACGATTCCTATCTATTTCTCTAAAGACAGGTAACTATTAAGTGTGTCCATTCTGTAGATGGATAAACTGAGGCAGAGAAGTTGTTTTAAACTAGCCTGGCTTAGATGAGGAGACCGGGTTTTTTAGTTCCAGATTCCCATGCCTATGCTCTGGCCAGACAGATAAAATGACACTTTTGCTCCTAATATTTAATTTGCTAGACTATGAAAACCAAGTTAACCAACCTTTCATTCTCTTGAAAAGCTGAATACTAGAAGGAAATGTTGAAAACTATACATATATATTTTAAGAATTTCCTAACCTGCTAATGCTATTTTAGGAATAACATTTTTTACTTGATTCTGACAGATTATAGCACGCTGACAGTCTTACTCTTTTAGAATGAAAGAGATGCAACTGTGGGAAAAAAATACATTAGAAGCATACAGCTGGCAAAAAAAACAAAAATGCAATTTGAAACTAAGACTTCGATCTTTTCTCCCAAGAAACAGAAGCATAAAACCCCCTCATTTCCCTGATGCGCAGCTAACTTTCTTGAACAGCTGTCTGTTCAAAACTTGTGAAGTAGTTTATAAACGGAGGAGGAGGAATGTAGTACGATCAGCTTGTTTAAAATGCCTCTCATTAAGACGTCCACCACTTATGAGCCTGCTTTAGCTTACATTATTAAATCTACAAATGGTTAATTTGTTCTTAAATGTAATTTTTACTTTCAAATTTCAAAGTAAGCAGGGGAAGGAGCCTGTCTGTAAAAATTAATGATACTAGAATTTCAAAATATACATATGTAAGGTCAAGCTTAGCTCACAATAGAAAATATTATACTACTACTGCAATTCTTCTAACGGCGATCGGTAATGTCAATAAACATCCTACTATACCCTCTTACCACGTGGCGCACCAAGTGCTGTATAAGTTGTGCACTAAGTTGTTGAAACCTTTTAACACAGAACAAAAATATCAGCATTTTTAAGAAAATGGTGTTAACAATGTCCTCTTCCCAAGAAAGAGTGCAGTAAGTCAGTTTTAAACTAGAAATGCCATGTTTGGAATGAAGAAGTACAAGAGGCAACTGATCTACACCTTGTCAGCTTTAGACATTTTCTAAAATTCAGGCACATTTTAGCAAAGCCCTTCACTAACACGCTTGGAGGAAAGAGAAAAGACAACGTGGTGAAATGCAATGCTTTCGTACTTCCAGAAACTTTATTTGGCTCCCCAGGGCTGGGCTCTGGGGCCGAGAGCCGGTTACCTCCAGCACTCGGAGCTCCTGTCGCTTTAAGAGACAGTCTCACACTTACACACTCGCACACACTGACAAGTGCTGCGTGTGCACTCTTTTGCTGCCAGCCTCGAGTTTGCTGCTAAGTATCAATGAAATGCCAGGCACGCAGAGAATAGCACCGAGCCCCGCTGCCGCCACCAGAATCCAGACATTTGGGTCGCAGGAACCCCAAGGTTTGCCCCAAAATCCCAAGTTTGCAAAAGCCAGGTGCCATGGAGTCTGGCAGCCCCGGGAGGTGGCCGAGCACGGCCAGGCTGGGACACGGAGATGGGGGGCACGGGAGGCCTCTGAGGGCAGAGAGCAGGGGATGGGGCAGGGTACAGGCAGGGGACGGGCAGGATGGCAGCATTTTGCAAATTACAGGGCTGTCTCCTAGCAACAGACAACACATTTGGCTCCACGTGACTTGCAAAGGCCCCAGAAACCAGACCCGCTCGCAGGGGGACAGGAGCACTCCCTTCATTTTTTTAATCGCCGAGCCCTTGGGGTCTGCAACAGCCTCTCGTTTTAGGAGAGGAACAGGCAGGGGCACTGCAAACCACAAACAAGTGAGGCCAAAATGTGCCCCCTCACCTTTCGTATCCAGCTCCACGTGGATGATGTTGCCCATGACGGAGGTGTTATGAAGGTGCTGGACGGCCTCCCGGGCACCCTTGACAGTGGCAAAGATCACTTTGGCGATGCCCAGGTGCTTCTTGTTCTTGGGGTTGTAGAGAATCTCCACCTCTTCCACTTCACCGTATTTCTTGCACATGTCGGTCAAAAAGTTTTCGCGGATGTTATCGTTCAGCTTGGCAAAGGTGACCTGCTTGGGAGGCACTGGCCCCACATAAAATTCATCAATCTGGAAACGGGCACAAGGTGGGGGGCAAGAAAAATAATTGTCATCGTTAGTGAGTGTGGGGGAAGGCATAAGGATGGCACGGGAGGGAGAGGGTTAAAGCATCCTGCAAACTTCAGGAAAAGAAAACTGCCTCCAAGGCTCTGGGATGAACCCCGGAGCCGAGCCTCTGCTGCCGCAGCCATTCATTGAAACCGGCTCCTTTCTGGGCTACAAATATGTATTTTAAGCAGTACTGTCAGCAGACAGCCCCCCTCCACTGCCGCCCACCCGAGAAGCCCCCAAAACACAGCTCCAAAACCTTCAAGTGATCTCGTTAGACAGATGCATTGATTTCTCATTATCTTTATAGAAGAGGATTATTGTTAAACAGTTTGCCAAATAATAATGTTAATAGGAATATGACTGTCATTTAAACGGCCCATTAAACTACTTGGAACCGAAGCTTCACTCCCGGATAAACAAGAATACAGAGCTAAACCCAAAAGTCGGGGGTGGTACCTTGAATTTGGGGACAGACAGCTCCAGCTCCTTAGTTTTGGTCCATATTCGCCCTATTCTGGGATCCCTGACACAATCCACAGGAGCGATTCCCGGGTTCTGGGAGGAGGAGGAGAAAAAGCACAAAACCAGCAATAACAGGGCTTGAAATTTAAGACACGAATAAAAGAAAAAATAAACCCCAAGGAAGCACGGGCTGTCTCAAGGGAAAGCGCACACGCACACACATACACACACGTGTCAAATCGCAATACTGCTGGGAAATGCACACAGATTGGAAACACAGAAATAAAGCCGCAGGTTTGGGTTCCTTGGGCTCCTGACAGATGAATACACAGTGTCAGGTGGCGGTAACTTTGGTGGCTGTGTGTGTCCCCCCAGACCCCCTTTCACACACATGTGCTACGGCAGGGATTACCACGAGCCGGAGGGACCCCCAGCCCCCAA